CCGAGGCACCACAACAGGGAGAAGAGCAGCAGCCGTCAGCAGTCGCATTGTGGGCGGAGAGTCGCCAGCAGCAGCAGCAGCAGCAGCAGCGTGCTCATGGCGCTCCTGTATCTGCGCAGCCCATCGGTGCGGACGAGGCCACGGCGCTCCAGAGACTCGTGTTTGATGAGCTGCTCGGTAAGGTCACATGTGGCCAGAAAAGACGGAGAACATGAGGACGGATGTGTGTGTATGTCGATGGGTTTGTAGGAGCGCCTTTATCTGGGTCGTCATTGTCCGTGTCCTCCTCACCTCGGAGCCGACAGACAGAGACAGACAGGGACGTCAACCAGGTAAGACAAAGGGAAGGGATGTTGAGACGACATGGCACCAGGCGTGTATGTCTTGTCTATCTGTTTTGTGTGGCCATGTTGTAGGTCAAGTTGGGTGTGGTGTTTCGCGTGGTCATGTCTGGCCAGCTGCCGCCCTCATCCGAGCGGCAACTCATAAAGCGACTCGTGCAATCCATACTCAAGTAACCAACTCGCCCCACCCCCCCAGCTGCTGGCACATGCATTTGTATGTGTGTGTGTTGTGTATGTTGAGCTGTCTGCAGGCGTCAGACGCCTATGGAGCCCGAGCTCGTCGAGGACACGACGGGCGACGACAGCGGCGTGCCCGTCTTCCCACCCCCATTCGCACCCGAACAGGTCGGTGGCCACACACCCATTGCCACAACACCACAGCACACATGGATAGATGTGTGTGTTTCGCCTTCCTTCCTAATCCAGGATGACGAAGCCACAGCGACCACAGCGTCGTCAGGGCTGACCCCCGCCCGTCTGTCCTACCTGCAGGACCTCATCCACTTCAAGTTTGCCCGGGACATCCACACCTATGACACACGCGCAGACACAGAGAGGGAGAGGGAGAGGAGGGGTCTGCAGCACGACAGTGAGCTGCTGGCCTGGGTGGAGGGCGGCAAGAGGCCCTCTGCTGTGCTCGGCTGGGGAGTGGGGGTGGACGGCACGACCGATGCTGCTGCTGCTGATGGTGGCGAGGAGGGGGAGAGGCGTGTTTGCTATGGCGAGGTCGTCATGACGGTCTGCGACACCATCCCGAAATGGGTCGACGTGAAACAAAAGTCAGCACAGAGCAGTGGAAGCGAGCCGGTGCGTTTGTTGAAACTGTCACGTGCGTGTGTCACATGCCAGGGATTTCCACAAGTCTTTTGCGCGTCTGATAGCGGACCTGCCATACGTGCCGTCGGGGGTGTACGGGCTGCTGTACCGTCAGGCGCTCGATGAGCAGACGCGGCTGCCCGCACTCATGGCCATCTTCCACTTGCTCAAACACAAGACAACCACCCTGTGCAGAAAGTCAGCAACACACACACACGCACCAGACACTGCTGTCTGCATCTGTGTGTGTGTGTGTGTGTGCGTGCAGGTCGGCCATGGGTGTGTTCCTGCGTCTCTGTTTCGCCAAGGACTTCCACTGCCGCTTCCGAGCCATCAGCCTCTGCGTCAGCCGATTCTACACACCACCGCCAGCACCACCGCCAGCACCACCACAAGCACAACAGACAGACGCCGACGAGCATCCAGCTATTGCAGAGGACTTCAGCGGTGTGTCCGACTGGCTGCGGCCAGAGCAAGGGGGCGGTGGCGAGATGCATGAGATGGAGAAAGAGATGCATGTGGGTGTGGAGGCGCCACAGCCAGATGGTGATGGTGATGTTGACGAGGGTGGTTTCGGGTGGGAGGATCCCACTGTGTACAGCGGCAAGTGGACGGAGGAATGTGCCGGCATCATGCTCAGGTGAGAGAGTGAGTGAGAGGCAATGCAGCTGTGTGGTGGGTGGGTCATGTGGCTGGGCGGATGGATGGATGGACGGATGGTCACACAGGTCGCTGGTGAAGCCTGATGAGCAGACGGGCGAGGGCAGGTTCTTCGCCCACCCCATCATTCCATGTCGCTACATCGCACAGCTGTGTCAGGAGATGCTCGATGAGCTCAAAGGTGAGATTTGCGTGCTGCAAGAGTGTGTATCGAGATGTCCATTTGTCTATGCCACAGATATGGAGAGCGAGTCCGATCACACGTCGGCGTGCATGATGCTGTACATCGCCCTGTGCTTCAAGCGGCCCCTCCTGCTGCACGCATACTTCCACGTCTACACGCTCTGCACACAGCCGGAAGTGCAGCAGACACTCAACACAAAACTCGCAGAGGTCACACAAGAGACAGTGGGTGGGAGGGAGAGAGAGATGGATGGATGGGTGTTGTTCTGTGTGTGTCAGGTGGTTGCCAACCTCTCCCCCACCCACCCAGAGCTGCCCAGGCTAATCAGGGTACGGAGGGCATCGAAGGCGATGAATGCACGCCCATTCTATCGCTGCCTCCTATACATGTGTGTGTGTGTCAGGGAGCCACCCCGGCCAACGAGACGCTCGTCATCACGCTGCTGGACGCACTCTCAGCTCAGTCAGCCGCCAAGGAAGGTAAACAAACGCAACACAAGACGACACAACCATCCCATGTGATGTCGATCCGTTCATCTACACATCAGGTGGATTGGTGCTGAGTCGTGAGATGGCGGAGGCCGTGCTGTCCCTCTACCGCCAGACGCAAAATGCCCAGCTACTCGTGCCCATCGTCGGACACCTGCACAAGTATGCAAGCTATGCAATCACACACTCCCACCCACCCCTGCAATCCCCACCCACCCCACACACACACATGCATCCCTTGTCTGTCTGTCTGTCTGTCTGTCTGTGTGTCTGAGCAGGTCTGAGGTATTGCAGCTGCTGCCCTTCGTGCTGAAGCTCGAGTCGAAGGATCAGGTCAAGACGGCATTCGCCAGACTGCTGAGCGGGGCCGCTGCCGCCGCTGGGGGCGTTGCTGCTGCTGCTGGTGGCGGTGAGATCGATCGCGTGACGGCGGTCGATCTGCTGGAGGCCATCATCCGAGTGGAGAGGGACAACCGGGAGAACCTGCCCATCAAACGGATTTCGGACTCGCTGGACTGCTGCTTCGAACTGAGAGACAAAATCGACACCAAAGTAAGACACACACAGAGAGAGAGAGAGAGAGAGCGCGAGTCGTGTCACTCGTCTGCCTGGCGGGATGTGTGTGTGTGTGTCAGTCGTTCCCCATTGTGATGACGCGCATCCTCGAGACCACCGAGCTAGAGGCATTGCCAAAGCTGTTCGGACGGCTGGTGGGAACAAACACGTGATGTGATGACAACCGCATGACCTGTTCCCTGTTCACCTGTATGTATGTGTCTGTGTGTAGATGGTGTTGGTGCTTCGCGAGTTCCCCACTGTGCGTGACTTCATGGTCGAGGAGATACTGCCCAAACTGGTCGAAAAGAAGGTCAGCGAAGAGAGGTGCATGGGCCTGCAGCCAAGGTGTCTGTCATCGATGTTTGTCGATCAGGTGTGGAACGACCGCGTGCATTGGCGGGGCTTCCTTCACTGCCTCAAGGACCTCTGGCCGGCCTCATGCCCAATACTCATCACCCTCCCCAGGTGTGCTGAGTGGCCAGCTGTCATGGTCGGTCTGTCTCTCTGTGTGTATCGACGTGCGTGTCTGTGTCAGTTCCCAAGTGGAGGATCTGTTGGTTGAGAATCCTGCGTGGCGGGGGGAGTTCTCCGAGTACCTCAAGCGACTGGTATGTCTGTGTGTCAACAGCCAACACCAATGTGCGTCTGTCGTCACGTGTGTGTGTGTGTGTGTGTG